CCTACTCACCCCTGGCGCTTCTGCAAGCAGGGCCGCCTTTTCCCCCCGCCGTGCGTTGGGCCATACAAGAGATGCGATGGCCCGGGCTCGGCGAGCTCTTCATGGGTGACTACAAGTTCTACTACTCTGGCGGCGCGCATAGGGCGCACGGGGTAGGTTTCGCTGTGCACAGGACCCTCGTCCCAGCCATTTTTGGTTTCATGCCACGTGGTAAGAGAATGGCAGCCATACGCATGCGTACGCACTCCCAGACCATCGCCTTTATCACCTGCCACGCCCCGTGTGAGTCGGACACTAGCCTGGACGACAAGGTAACGTTCTACGATTCTCTGCTCAGGTTAGTAGAAAAGGACCTCTCAAATTGCAGCCTCAAGGTTATCATAGGTGACATGAATGCTCAGATCGGGCCGCCAGTGAGTCACCACGACACGAGAAGGGGCCATTACACGTATCATAAAAAGGACAACAGCAACGGTACCCGGCTCTTGGCCTTTGCCAGTTCGGCTCGCATGACGGTGGCGAGTACGAGGTCCTCTCGGCCCAGGAGGGAGCGGCACACCTGGGTCTCTAACAACCACAAGGATAAGTCACAGATAGACCATATCTTGATAGACTCTGCGCGGGAAAATTGGGTTTCGGGTGTGCACTCCGACTGGACTGGGTGCAACTACTCCGACCACGCCCCTGTGGTGGGGACGCTCGAGGTGAAGGCCGAGAGCTTCAAGAGGGACCGGGAAGGAGATATGCCTAAGTCACCGAAGAAGCTCCGCCTGGAACGCCTGCAGGTCCCCGAGGTAAGTAAAAAGTTTCAGGCTTCCGTAGCGCGGCTCCTAGCCATTGCCCCAACACAGGAGGAGCCCACGGACCCACCGACGGAAGGCCCCCCTCCCGCGGGCACGCCCGTGAGGGAGAGTCTGGACTCTATGTGGGAGCGGATGGCGACGGCCCTACTGTCCAGCGGCAAGTCTGAGCTGGGCGAGGCTGCGCAGGTCAAAGGCAAACACTGGTATGATGAGGAGTGTGTGAGGGCCACCGAGCAACGCAACGCGTTGTGGAGGTGGATTACAGAGGAGTCGCTCAACGACGACGAGGTAAGAGAGGGCTATGAGGAGGCGGAGAGGCTGCGAAAGAAGACACTACGCCGAGTGAGGAGGCGCTACTTCAACCAGTTGTGTAAGGACCTGGAGCTTGACCACTCCCTCAGGAATGTCCGCGGCTTCTTCGCTAAGGTGAAGAAGGCCAAGACGGGCTACGTCCCACGTGCCTGCATGGTACGGGCGGAAGAGGGACTGCTCGTCGCCAACACCCCCCAAGTCCTGCAAACCTGGCGTAAGCACTGCATCAAGGTGCTGGCGACACCGGCGACCGGAGCTCAGGGGCACGACACACAGGAGGCGGCCGGGGCGGCGGAGGAGGGGACGGAGCAACAACAATCGGAGCAGCAGCCGGACGAGCGAGAGAAGCAGCCACCCACGCGGGAGGAGGTCACCAGTGTGCTGTCGTCCATGAAGAGGGGCAAGGCAGCAGGTGCGGATGGCATCACGACGGAGCTCTTCCTTGCAGGCGGGGAGGCCATCATCGACGCTCTGACGGCGCTTATGGTGCGGATATGGGAGGAGGAGTCTATTCCAGCAGCCTGGGAGGAGGCCGTCATCACCATGCTCCACAAGGGCAAGGGGGGTGTCTACGACTGCGACAACTACAGGGGCTTGTCGCTGCTCAACACTGGCTACAAAGTCTGCTCTACGTTGATTCTACGGCGCCTGGAGTTCTACGCCGAAGCAGCGACGAGTGAGTACCAGGCAGGTTTCCGCAAGAACAGGTCGACGACCGACCATATCTACGCCCTCAGAGTCCTTCTTGCCCGGAGGAAGGAGTTTCAGCAGGAGACCCACATGCTCTTCGTTGATTTCGCAAAGGCCTATGATTCTGTGGACAGGGAGGTGCTCTGGCGGCGCTTGGCAGAACTAGACATCCCCCAGAAGCTGATCATCATGATGCAGGCGCTGTCTAGGTCGACCAGGAACAGGGTGCGAGCGATGGGTTTCCTCTCGGACTGCTTCGAGACTACATCAGGCGTGCGGCAAGGCGACTCGCTCTCCCCTCAGCTGTTCAACCTCGCTCTAGAATCGGCGGTTAGGCGGGTATTACAGCTCCTCCACCCAGACGTACTGCTTCTAGCCTACGCCGACGACATTGTCATCGTTGCAAACTCCGCCCAACAGCTCTCCGCGGCGATGGCAGCGCTGGTGGAGAAGTGCGCAGAGATCGGCCTTCGTGTCAACCACGGCAAGACCAAGTACATGCGCTCCGCGCCGGCGCAGGACGGCCCCTCCCCGCCCCTGCAAGTGGCGGACCAGACCTACGAGGCGGTGAGAGTCTTCAGGTACCTCGGCTCCATGATAACGGTCGACAACGACAGCCTTGTGGACATCAGAGAGCGCACTAATGCAGCCCTTCGCAACCTCAGAGCCCTACGCTCACTACTAGGGTCGAGAGAGATCAACAGAAAGGGTAAGCTCACCATATACGAGACGGTAATTAGACCGGTGGCCACCTACGGCGGGCAAGCATGGACCCTCACAGCCCAGTGCAAGGAAGCACTAAACGTCTTCGAGAGGAAGGTCCTCCGCATCATCGTGGGCCCAGATCTCTCCCAGCCAGGTGTGGTTCGTATGCGCAGCAGTCAAGAGGTAAGAGACCTTCTAGGTTACTACAGGAGCGTGGTGAGTTGGGTTCAGTCCATTGCACTGCACTGGGCGGGACACGTGGAACGTGCCCCAGAGGACAGGATTATCCGACAGGTAACGGTAGGCCGCATAAAAGGCAAGAGAGGCCGGGGCAAGCCAAAGACGAGGTATGCTGACTACATAGCGGCGATGGTGAGGCCGTACGGCGTGAAGGACTGGCGTGCACTCGCCCAGTGGAGAGAGGGGTGGAAGGACCTCTGCGCCTCAATGAGAGGAGCGCCAGCAGCGCCGGTCACTCCACGCAAGAG